ATAAAAGCAATATACAGCAAGCCGACAGCTAACATCAAACTGAATGGAGAGAAACTCAAAGCCTTTCCACTAAAATCAGGAACACGACAAGGCTGTCCACTCTCTCCATACCTCTTCAATATAGTGCTTGAAGTTCTAGCAATAGCAATAAGACAACATAAGGAGATCAAGGGGATTCGTATTGGAAAGGATGAAGTTAAACTTTCGTTATTTGCTGACGATATGATAGTATACATAAGTGACCCCAAAAACTCTACCAAAGAACTCCTACAGCTGATAAACACCTTTAGTAACGTGGCAGGATACAAGATCAACTCCAAAAAATCAGTGGCCCTCCTATACACAAAGGATAAAGAAGCAGAGAGGGAAATCAGAGAAACATCACCTTTCATGATAGCCACAAATAGCATAAAATATCTTGGGGTTACTCTAACCAAGGAAGTGAAAGACCTATTTGACAAGAACTTTAAGTCTTTGAAGAAAGAAATTGAGGAGGATACCAGAAAATGGAAAGACCTCCCCTGCTCTTGGATTGGGAGAATCAACATAGTAAAAATGGCAATTCTACCAAAAGCAATCTATAGATTCAATGCAATCCCCATCAAAATCCCATCAAACTTCTTCACAGACCTTGAGAGAACAATAATCAAGTTTATATGGCAAAACAAAAAACCCAGGATAGCCAAAACAATCTTATACAATAAAAGAACTTCTGGAGGCATTACCATCCCTGACTTCAAACTCTATTACAGAGCTACAGTATTGAAAACAGCTTGGTATTGGCATAGGAACAGAGAAGTCGACCAATGGAATCGAATAGAAGACCCAGATATTAACCCACAAACCTATGAACACCTAATTTTCGACAAGGGAGCTAAAGGTATACAATGGAAGAAGGAAAGCATCTTTAACAAATGGTGCTGGCATAACTGGATGTCAACCTGTAAAAGAATGAAAGTAGATCCATATCTATCACCATGCACCAAAATCAAGTCCAAATGGATTAAAGACATCAACATTAATCCGTCCACTTTGAACCTGATAGAAGAGAAAGTGGGAAGTAGTCTACAAGATATAGGCACAGGAGGCCTCTTCCTAAGTAGGACCCCAGTAGCACAGACAATAAGAGAAACAATGAAAAAATGGGATCTACTGAAACTGAGAAGCTTCTGTAAAGCAAAGGACACTGTCAGTGAGACAAAAAGGCTGCCTTCTGACTGGGAGTAGATCTTCACCAACCCCTCATCAGACATAGGTCTGATCTCCAAAATATACAAAGAACTCAAGAAACTAGACACTAAAACTCTAATTAACCCAATTAAAAAATGGGGTACTGAACTGAACAGAGAATTCACAACAGATGAACTTCGAATGGCCAGAAGACACTTAAGGTCGTGCTCAACCTCCTTAGCGATCAGGGAAATGCAAATCAAAACCACTTTGAGATACCATCTTACACCTGTCAGAATAGCTAAAGTCAAAAACACCAATGATAGCCTATGCTGGAGAGGATGTGGAATGAGGGGAACACTCATCCATTGTTGGTGGGAATGCAAACTTGTGCAGCCACTGTGGAAATCAGTGTGGCGGTTTCTCAGGAAACTGGGAGTCAATCTCCCTCAGGACCTAGCAATTCCACTCTTGGGAATATACCCTAGAGATTCCCTAACATACTACAAAAGCATTTGTTCTACTATGTTCATAGCAGCACTATTTCTAATAGCCAGAACCTGGAAACAGCCTAGGTGCCCCTCAATAGAAGAATGGTTAAAAAAGGTATGGAACATATACACATTAGAGTTTTACTCAGCGGTAAAAAACAATGACATCTTGAATTTTGCATGCAAATGGATGGAAATAGAAAACGCTTTACTGAGTGAGGGAAGCCAGACCCAAAAAGAGGAACACGGTATGTATTCACTCATAAGTGGATTCTAACCATAATTAAAGGTCTTTGAGCCTATTATTCGTGATCCTAGAGAAGCTAAATAAGAAGATGAACCTGATGAAGATTATTTAGCTATCCGCCAGGAGGTAAGAAATAGACAAGAGTCCCAGGTAATCTCGGGTGCATGGGGGGGTGGGGGTGGGAGGGTTGTTGGAAGGGGAGAGGGTTAGAGAGAAGGGAGTAGGGGAGGAATGGGGAAAGCTCGGTGGCCTGGGATGGGGGGGAGGGAGGAAGGATGAATATGGGATCAGGTAAGAATATATTTCAACTAAGGGAGTCATTTTAGGGTTTACAGGAGACTTGATTATATATGGGATCCCAGGTCCAAGGAGAGATCCCCAGATTGTTCTCTGGACAGAGGAGAGGGTGCCTGAACCGGCCTTGGCCCATAACCATACTGATGAATATTTTGCTTATCACCATAGATCCTTCATCTGGCGAAGGATGGCGATACAGACGGAGACCCACATTGGAGCACCGGACTGAGCCCCCCAAGGTCCAAATGAGGAGCAGAAGGAGGAAGAACATGAAAAAGGAAATCAGGACTGCGAGGGATGCTATCACCCACTGATACAAGGGGACGGATCTAATGAGAGTTTACCAAGGCCAGTTGGACTGGGACTGAACGAGGACGTGATCTAACCAGATTCTCGGAATTTGGCCAGATTCTCTGAATATGGCTGGCCCGAAGTCTTTCTGAAAAGCCATTGACTATGACACTGGGACTTGTTTCCTCTGCATATACTGGATTTTGCGGATCCAGTCTGTTTGGATACTCACCTTCCTGGACCTGGAGGGAGGGGGGAGGAACTTGAACTTCCCACAGGGCAGGAAACCCTGACTGCCGTAAGGGACGAAGAGGGAGGAGGAAAGGGAGTGGGGGGAGTTGGAGGGTGTTGGGAAGAGGGGCGGAAATGGAAACTTTTATAATTTAATAAAATTACTTTCAAAAAAAAAAAAAAAAAAAGAAAGGGCTTCCTGACAAACACAGAAAACTATTACCTGTAAAGGAAACGAGCAAAAGATAACACACTAAAATGAAGGCATGTTCACGAAGAATGAAAGACAAACCATACAAAACAGTTTATAACATCCCATCAAGTACTGACCAGTATCTAAATACCACAAAGAATTCTTATAAACCATCAAGACAAAGACAGCTCAGCAGACTGAAGACACCTCAGTGAGTAGTTTACTGCACAAGCATGGAGAACTGAGTGTGAAATCACAGGACTGCACAAAGCCTGGTGTGGGAGCCAAGTCTGCTATCCCAGTCTCCTATGGAGAGGCGGGAGCCAGGAGAAGAGGTAAGAAAGCCAGCATCAGAGGCTGTCCTGACCTCCACATGTGTGCCATGGTGTCTGCCCACACTGACTCTCAGACAAAGGTAACCGGAAGCTGAACAAGATGAACCAAAGGCTTAAGCACACACAAGAGAAAATCCAAATGCTCAATAAAATGCTTTTCTTCTCAAAAGGAGGAAGTGAATGGTAAAATTAAAACCCAACACAATCCTATTAAAAGCTGAACCAAATTCAGACATAATCGGCCAGAATGAGAACTGGTAATAATATGCCAGGGGGTGGTGGCGCATGTCTTTAATCCCAGCACTTAGGAGGCAGAGGCAGGAGAATCTCTGTTTAAGGGAAGTAAGAATATGAAAACTACGTGTGTTAGGACACAGGGCCCTATTAACTGTTTTGTCAAAACTGGAATCACAGCACATCCAGGCCACCAGCACCTCTCACATGGCATACACCCCTGAAACTATACTTCGTGCTTCAATCTTCCACTGTGGTTCCTTTTTATTAATATTTATGTGTACAAGTGTTCATCTTCTTATATGTATGTGCATCATGCGTGTGGACCTCTGGAACAGGGGCGTGTACATGTCTGTCTAGTACACAGTCCCCTGCAAGAAAGATCACCCGTGATTAACTACTGAGCCGCCTCTCCAGCTCAAGAAAGCTCTTTTAAAGACCAAAACATGCTCAACTCCTCCCTCGTATTGTTTCTCTGTTGCTGCTGTTTGTTTGTTTTTTTGAGACAGGGTTTCTCAGTGTATCTCCGGCTGTCCTCTCTCTGTAGATCACGATGGCCTCAGAAATCTGCTAACCTCTGCCTCCAGAGTTCTGGGATTAAAAGCGTGCGCCCTACTGCCAGTTTTTTTTTTTTTCTTCTTTTTTGAGAAAAGGTCTCAGCTGGGCAGTCGTGGCACAAGCCTTTAATCCCACCACTGGGGAGGCAGGTGGATCTCTGGGAGTTCGAGGCCACCCTGGTCAACAGATGCAGTTCCAGGACCGCTATAGCTACAGGAAGAAACCCTGTCTCGGAACAAACAAACAAACAAGCAAAGGTCTCATATATGCTTGCAAGGCCTGGAACTCAAGAGACTCGCCTGCCTCTCGGCTTCCTGAGTGCCATATTAAAGCAGCATCACATCCAGCCTCCCTTGGTCTCATGTTTGCTTAGAATGCTTGGGAACTCTTCCAGGCACCCTAGCTCTGTTTAGCATCCCTCCCCACTCACTATGCTTCAGTCACCCTGCCCTTGCCATTCTCCGAACATATGCATCAGTTCCCTACCTGCATCTTGTTCAAAGTCTTGCTATGTCTTCCTCCAAGTGTGGTGTCACAGGTTTGTTCCACTTTTGCCTATATTTCTACCCAGAAGAGTTTTCTTCCAAAAACTCTAAGTGTCTCTTTCATACCATTAAGGTCACTGCCTAGCTGTCCCCTCTACCACTGTGTTGACAATTATACCCTGAATAGCTCATGCCCCTCAGACATCACTCTGTTCTCTTTAGACTTTTGATCCATCTTAATTTTCCACATGCACTTAAGTCTGTGAGATGTTATATTTGTTATTCTGCATACTCTGACTCTCCCACGTCTGTAACTCCCCACTACATGACAGACTCCTCAGGGTAAGGCTCTGTCTCGACTACCAGGACAGTCCCAGATCACAGTGGCCACGTGACACAGCTGAGAGGTTTCCGAATTAAACTGACTGCAAGAAAGTTTAACTTGAGAAGATCACTGAAAATACTTACATATTTCTTGCGCTTTGGCCTTTTCAAGAAAGTATCTCTTGAAACCTGGTCTGCTGTTCTTGCCACGTCTTCCAAAAATCGATAGTCTTGAAATTTCAGAATGGAAAAATGAGTAGGTGACATGTGCCAGCGGCCGGGAAGCATTTACCTGCTGTGCACAAAAGGACTCACCGCTTAGCAGATTCATCTCAGTAAACTGCTGCAGCGAGACATAGGCAGTTCTATCGCGGATGCCGTTACAAGTCAGCTCTGCTTTGTGCTTCTTTACGCAGGGCAAACTGTGGGAGCAAACAGGAAGCAGCTCTGTACCCGAAGCTGAGTGCAGAGAGGTGGGGATAAGGTAGGAAGTTATGTATCTACCTGCAGGAATAGCGCATGCAGCGTGGACATCGGTACTTCGCTTCTTCAGTCCCACAAGTTCCACACCTGGAAAAACACACCTGTGACTTAACACTCAAACACTAACTCTACTTACAATGTCTGAATGCCGACTCACGGACATCAAGGCAGTCAACGCAAAGAAGCATAGGCCAGCAACTCTGATAAAATATTTGATAGCTGTCACTGAAAATTATGAAAATGTCTGCAAATGACATTCACGATAAAATGCAATCCGAGAAAATAATATATATGGGGGAAATCTTATTTTGACTTTTCTACTGCACTTAGAGAATAAGATGATTTTTTTAAAATCTGTAATTCATGGAGATTTTGTGTGTGTGTGTGTGTGTGTGTAAGTTATATTTGGATATTATAAAAGCATATACACCAGCAAAACAAGATAGGAAGAGACAAGGCTAAATTTAACAGTAATGTATGCCTTTTCCAAAAGTTAAATCTACTTTAGAGCGGACACCAGAATAAGCCAGAGACAGTGTTACTAATCTTCTCAACCACAGCTCACCCAGTAGATTCAGTTCACTTGGTCAGTTCTGTTTGAGACAGAATCTGATCACAGTTTTAGCCATCGCATGAACACACTAAAGAAACTACAGCCAAGAAATAAGCATTCATAGGAGCCATGAAAAACTTCAAGAGGAGGCTGTCTGTCTATTAACTCCGCCCACCCTTTCATTGTTGGCTTTTATTAGATACCCCCTAATTCCTATTTTCTCTAGTGGGTGAAGCCCTGCACAAGAGCGTCACAGCTAACAAGACCTGGTTCCACAAAGGTCTCGGACCCCCAGAATTTTCTCCTTAACTTGATGGTCACTGCCACTTCACACAGTGTCCCAGACTTCAGGAACAACTTCGTGCCTGGTTTAATTTACTCCACGTTCTGCTGTTAGAGTAGCTTCGTCCACGCAATGTTCTATTTCCCATCTGGGTTTTCTCCCTGCCCTACCTTGACATGGCCAACTTCCTCTTGCAGCCCACTCGGTGATTCGTCTGGGGCTCTTCCTTCACCTGCGCGCCGTCCATCACTTCTCTCTTGAGGCAATCCTCTTCTTTGACGCGCACTCCCTCCAACACCTGCTCCTCCTTTACGTTCTGACCAACAAACAACTCCTGTTTTACGTTCAAGTCCTCCGTCACTTCTTCCCAGTCCGTTACCTCCTCCTTCACCTTCACTTTCTCTTCCTTTACTTCTGGCGCATCCACCGTCTCCTCTTTCACCACCAGGCTACCATCCGCCTCCTGCTTCACCTCCAGCACGCCCACCTTCTCATCCTTCACCTCAGGTCCGCCCTCCACCTCCTGCTTTACCCAGGGGCTGTCCGATATGTCTACATCCGACCAGTCCACCACTTCCTGCTTCACCACGGCTAAGTCCATCTTTATCTCCTCCGCATCCTCTGTGGTCTTAACTCCGTTCCTCTCCTCTCCATCGCCAGCCTCGGGGCTCCCACCTAAGTCCCAGGCTCCCTCCCCACCGGCCTCGGGTCTCGGCCGCGCCCCCTCCGCTACCCTCTGGGGACCTTCTCCCGGAGTCCCTTCCTTCTCCGCCGCCAACTCCATCAGCTCACTAGCCTAGGCCGACGCTGCCACTCCGTTCTTCAGGGTGGCGCTACCACGCCAACAAGCGGGATTACTAAACGAATCACCGACAGCGCCACACGTGTACAAACCAGAAGCCACCAGCTCTGCACGCCCAGGAGATGCGGGATGAGCCGTAAAGCAACTCTTCCGCGCCACGACTCTTCACGACTCGTGAAGTTCTTTACGGCGCTGCCGCTTTGCATCCCTTTCAGCTTTGAGAGACCACGCCAGGGCTCCCAAATTGGTGTTCTGGGTACCGGAACGACAGTCTCGAAATAAAGTGACCCGCTTTAACCTGTATTTCGGATTAACTCTAATAATGGAGGACAGATTCCCATTTTCCTCAAACGTTTAGACTGTCTAAACCAGTGGTTCTCAAATTTGCTAATCCTGCGACCCATTAATACCGTTCATGTTGCAGTGAGACCCCAACATAAGATTATTTTCGTTGCTGTTTCATAACTGTAATTTTGCTATTGTTATTAATCGTAATGTAAGCCGGGCGGTGGTGGCACACGCCTTTAATCCCAGCACTCGGGAGGCAGAGGCAGGTGGATCTCTGTGAGTTCTGCAAGAGCTAGTTCCAGGACAGGCACCAAAGCTACCGAGAAACCTTGTCTTGAAAAAAACAAAAACAAACAAACAAACAGAAGACAAAAATCGTAATGTAAATGTAAGAGGCTTGCTGTAGGGGTCGCGACCCACAGGTTGAGAACTACTGGTCTAAACTGTCGTTATTCACCCTGACCAAGGTATTGGAAAATGCCTGGGTGGTAGTGACACACGCCTTTAATTCCAGCACTGGGAGGCAGAGACAGGCGGATCTCTGTGTTTGAGGCCAGCCTGGTCTACAGAGTGAGTTCCAGGACAGCCAGGGCTACACAGAGAAATCCTGTCTCAAAAACCAACCAAACAAACAAACCATAAAAAAAAAACAAACCCGCCTTTAATCCTAGCATTTAAGAGCTAGCAGCAGGAGAATCTCTGTGACTTATAGGCCTGCCCTGTCTACATAGTAAGTTCTGGGTCAGCCAGGGCTATATAGTGAGTCCCTGTTTCAAAAACAAAACAAGCAGGGGGAGAAGGAAGAAGGTGAGGAGAGAGGAAAAAGAAACAGGAGAGATACACTTATCTACTCCTGCAAGGATTACATGAAATCATGCCTGGGAATCACCTACTACTCTGAAACTCTGGTTCCTACATGCTAGCAATAGCCCCTCAAATTCATGAACTGAAGTCCTTAATCCCTAATACCTCTCAATTTTGACTATATTTTGGAGGTCAGTCCTTTGAAGGTATACTCGTTAAAGTGAGGTCATTATAATGGGCTCTAATCCAATCTGACTGAAACATTATTTAATAAGAAATTTGCATACAAATGGGATGAATGGACATAGAGTACTGGACTATGGTGAGAAATTAGCCATCTGTTTGCCAACCCAAGTAGCCTTAAAAAAAAATACTTCTGAACCCTCGGTTTTGGACTTTTATAGCTTCTTGAACTTTGAATAAATAAGAATGGTCTTTGTTTAAGTCATCCAGTTTGCAATATCATGTTGCTTCAGTAAACTGACACACTGGCCAACAACCCGAGAGAACGGCTGCTGTGTGACACTGTTTCTGGGAAAGAAGTAAACAAATGTCTATTCATCCAAGGGAGGGACCAACAACAGACCAAAGTAAGGATTCTACCCACGTCCAACTTGGTGAGCCTTGTTGAGCTTTGGGTATGTGCTTTGGAAGGGCGCTGCTGCTGGAGAAGATGGCAGCTCCAAATTTAGTTTTCTAAGGAACCCCTATACTTATTTCCATGAGGGCACACTAATTTACATCCATACCAACAGTAGATAGGGTTCCTTTTCTCCCACTATCCTCACCAGCCCTTGTTTGGTTTCATGTTGGTAGCCAGTCTACCTTGGGAAAGATGGACTCCTAATGTACTCTGATTTGAAATCTTCTAATAGCTATAGATATCAAGTATTTTTTCATATTTTTTGCCATTTAGATTTTCATTTGTTTATTATTGTATGTGTATATGATGTATGTATGTGAGCACTTACATGCTATAGAAAACATGTGGATGTCAGAGGAGAACATTAGGGAATCAGTTCTCTGTGGGTTCTGAGGATTGAATTCAGTTTGACAGGGTCGCATGGCAAGAACTGTTATCTACTGAGTCATTTTTGTTAGACTACTGCATTGAACATTCGACTTCTTTTGAGAATTATTCAATTCATTTGCCTTTTGTTGATTGGATTTTTTGTTTTTGATGTTTATTTTTGAGCTGAGATTTGTTTTTTACAATGTATTTTTAATTGATTCATTGTGTGTATGTGTGACTAATATACTTAAAATAAAAACAAAAAAGTCCAAAACAAACAACAGAAACAAGGTTGTGGGCACTCCTGTGAGGGATTTTCTTAACCAAATTTGAAGCAGGAAGGCCCACCCTAAATCTCGGCAGCCCACATGAAGGATATGGAAGGAAGAGATTTTGCTTTTTGCCTCCTTGCTCTCAGTCTCAAAGGTCAGTTCATCCATGGGGCTGTTAAGCCATTCCTTCATTGGTATTAGAACCAACTTCTTTAAGATTCTAGTATAGACTGAAGATCAGTAGCTCTCTGGCAATTCTTTGGACTCCAGCACCTGATTGAAAACACAGAGACACCCACCCTCTTGGAATGAACAACTACCAGATTCTAGGTCTTTCTGTCATTGGATGATTGTGGTAGTTTGAATAAGAATGGTCCCCAAAGGCTCATATATTTGAATGCTTGGTCAACAGGGAGAGGTACTATTTGAAAGGATTAAGAGATATGACCCTGTTGGATCAGGTGTGACCGTGTTGAAGGAAGTGTGTCACTGTGGGTTGACTTTGGGGTTTCAGAAGGCCAAACCAGGGGTATTGAACTCTCTCTCTTTCTGTTGTCTGTGACTCTGGGTATAGAACTCTCAGTTTCTCCAGCACTATGTCTGCCTGCATACTGCCATGCTCCCACCATGATGATATGGACTAACCTCTGAAACTGTAAGCCAGCCCCAGTGAAAAGCTTTCTTTATCAGAGTTGTCACAGCAATGGAACATAGGGTAAGACAATGCCATTGTTATTTTATCCAGACTATATTCTGCAAGCCAGTCTAAAAAAATTCCAATACACACACACACACACACACACACACACATACATACATACATATGTATGTGTATGTGTGTATGCATGTATGTGTATCTTTTCATTCCTGTCCCTTTCGAGAACCCTGATAATACAGTCCTGGAGGGTGTATCAGTTACTCTTCTTGATGCTGTGAAAAATTCCTGGCAGAAGCAGCTTCAGGAAGAAAGGGTTTATTTTGGTTACAGTTTGAGGATAAATATTACATCATGTCGGAGAAGACATGGCAGCTGGAGGCTGCTGGTTGCAGTGCATCCCCCTCATCAGGAAACAGACAGATGAATGCTAGTGCTACTGTTCAAAAATTCCCAGGATGCTTAATGTTCTTCACAACTCAGACGCAAATTGGTACCATTCATATTTGAGAACCATTTGGTAAAGTCATTATAACTACACTTTTCTAAGCTCTCTAAGGACTACTGAGCACATGAAATAGGATTATCTGAATTGACACAAACTCACAGCATAAAATACAGAGTTTAATGAAAGAGTAATGTAAATGATCTCATTAATAAGAGTTTTGCAAGTGTTACAGCTCTGTATTATCAGCTCTGGAAAGGTATCCAGGTAGTCAGAAGCCAAGGAAGACCTTCAGTTTAGAAGGGAAAGGTACCCTGGCACTTAGAAACCGAGGAATACCTGTAGCTCTGAAGGGAAAGGCTTCCCAACAGAAGTGTTTCAGTTCTCTTCTGGTGGGGGCAGTTCCCCTAGCAAAGTGTTACAGTCCTTGCTCTGGGAAAGATTTCCCTAAGGTAAGTATAACAGCTCTACTCCAGCAGGGCAGAGTTTCCCCAGAGAGCTTGTCACAGCTCTGCTCTATTCTGCTCCTGAGATATGTTACAAGTGTTTAGCTCCCCCAGAGCATAGCCCGTCTGCGCCAGCAAGGGAGAGTTTCCCCAGCCAGAGTTAAACAGCTCAGCTCTGCTCCACTCCACTTCGGTGAAAGAAAGTTGTAACAATAAACCTCACTCAAGAGATTTATTGGGAGGGAGAATCCAGGAGAGTGGCTGCCTCTGAAAGGGTGGGAAAAGAACAGCCCCCAAATGAACAGGCACAGGGCTTATACTGGGTTTCTTAGGGTTGGAGCTTTCCAAGGTAGAGATTTTCAGGATGGGAATCGGTAGGCTCTCAATTTCTGAGTTTGGGGCAAGCTCAAAGATTGGTTGGATTTTATGCCCAGAGATTTTCTGGATTTCAATTCCTGAGTTGGTTAGAGGTGGGGTGTGTTTCCTTGGTTCTGGTCTCAGATCCAGGGTGTTCTTTCACTGGCCCTTTTTGCCCTATAGCTTTGCTGATTACTTGTTATAATGATATTATTTTGTGTATAATAAATGATATATATTGTTGAAATTAATTTTATCTCTTTTTTACTTATTCAAATGAAGCTATTAAGGAGTTTTAAATTATGTATGTATTATATTGCAATTGTAAAGTGCTACTTGGAGATTTGTTACTAAAACTCAAATTTTATTACACATAGTTAACATAAAGCGAATATTTAAGAGTTATCTAAGCATATAATTAATTTATTAATTTGTTAACTAGTAAGTAAATATTTAGCTTTTTTCCTAATCCATTCTCCAAACAATGACTTGGTCTTATAGATCAAAGTTTGAATTTTCAGGGACCTCTTTAAAAACCTCAAGTGTCTAATAGCTGCTCTTAAGATAATGAAATGGGTCTGTATTACAGCTCTGCAAAGGTCGTTGGATCATGGCCTCCATGTTTTTTGCAAGTCTCATCTGTACTTACTGAAGTATTGCTTCCAGGAACATTTTGGTCACTTTTCTGTTGCTGTGCTAAACCACCATGACTAAGGTATCTTCGAGGAGAAAGGTTCATTTGGGCTACAGTTTCAGAGGGTAAGAGTCTGTCATGGCGGGGAACATGGCAGCAAGCAGCAGGCATGACAGCAGGAGCAGAAAGCTGAGCGTTCACCTCTTAAGCTACAAGCTTAAAGCAGAA